AGTTTCTCGTTTTCTGTTTTTCTCTTAGCTTATTTTTTTACCGAGAAAAATTGTTTGCATACCTTATGTACCGCGAGGGGTCATTTCACCCCTTATGGTAAGATAGGTATATGTAAGATAGGTGTAGGTTGGGATAGCTCAGTCGGTAGAGCATCAGACTCTTAATCTGAGGGTCCCAAGGTTCGAGCCTCCTGTTTGGACGAGGAAAAAAAAAAACACACATTGTCCTTTAGGATAACAGCACAGGAGAGCTCTGTGTGTATAAAAAGTGGAGGTTTTAGTCGGTAAGAAGAATCTTTTTCCCTTAAAAAACTCAGGTGTCTTATGAAGATTTCCTCCACGTAAGAAAAAAAAAAAAAAGATAAGTATATGTAAAATGCCGGTACGTTTAGTGTTAAGATCAATTGAAATATTATAGTTACTATCCCTTATACAGAATTTATATTCTACAGATCCGAGAAGAACAACAGAGTTATATAACATACTTTGGATTCTCCTTTTGGCTAAACTCGAAACATTAAACTGCCTTTTTATCTCGGGTCACGAATTTAGTGAACGATGTAAATAATTCACCTCAGTTCCTATACTAGGATATGGAATCTGCGTGAAATTGTACTCCCACCGAGTACATTCCACTGTTTTGTTCGTTTGGAACTCTAATGAGCGTAAATCCTCGCCACTCCGCAGGATCTCCGCGAAGTTTAGGTCCTTCCGGTTACACTGGTCATAATACGGATAATCGTTCGTTCGTGGAATCCCAATTTTGATCCTAAACATACGATAGAACATGCTAGTTAGCGAATCAATTGTTGAAACGTGTCGAGCAAAATGGAATGAAATCGAACCAAACAAAATAACTGAAGATTATAAAGATTATAAAGCGTAATCCAATCTTGTTCAGAGCTGTATTATAAAATCTTTTCGTCTTCCAAATTGCCCACGATATTTTCCAATAATTTAGCCCCTTTAAAATTAACGGCAAGTGTAAATTATAATTGTAAAGTTATTCTTTGTGAAGCATTTAAAATATCGTCTAGCGTTTCAACGAAAATTCCCGCCTCTCTTCTTCCCTCTCTGTTATACTTGTGCATTTACCTCTCCTCTTGGGTGAAATTCGAATCCGCTAATTCGTCTATCCTGCACCAGTGTTCCGCGGGAATGATCGTGATGAAAAATTGCGAGAAATATAGGAACGCGTATGTTGTGCCATAAGGCAGTAACGAGAGTAATAGCAACCACTGATATCTGCCATAATCCCCGACATATGGCAGAACGTCGTCGAAATTCTCCAATTTTGACCTCAGCCGGGTCGTTTCGGTGGGCCCTATAGAGTTGTTCAAGTTCTTCTTCTGGTTCTTCATTTCACTGAAACAGAAATTATTCCATTTCCACGCTCCATGAATGTTGTAGTTCGAACGTAAATTCATAATTTGATATTCTTGATTAACACTAAACGTACTAAGCTTTTCAAAATTTATTCTAAATAAAAATATATGTTTGAGTATTTTATTAGAAATCAGAAATTATCACAAAATTTACTTTGAATAAAAATATATGTTTGAGTATTTTATTAGAAATCAGAAGTTATGTTGCACAAATTATTCCTTTGATAAATTAAGAATTTCTTTCTAAAAATCAACGTTTATTCATAAGATTAAGAATTTCTTTCTAAAAATCAACGTTTATTCATAAGGAGTCAAATGACCTGAATTTCTTTCTAAAAATCAACGTTTATTCATAAGGAGTTCAAATGGCCTCTTATAAAACTTTACTTTAAATAAAAATATATGTTTGAGTATTTTACTAGAAATTAGCAAAATTTACTTTGAATAAAAATATATGTTTGAGTATTTTATTAGAAATCAGAAGTTATGTTGCACAAATTATTTCCTTTAATAAATTAAGAATTTCTTTCTAAAAATCAACGTTTATTCATAACTTTACTTTAAATAAAAATATGTGTTTGAATATTTCATTAGAAATCAGAAGTTACGTTGCAAATTATTTCTTTTAATAAATTAAGAATTTCTTTCTAAAAATCGACGTTCATTCATAAGGGGTCAAATGACCCCTTATGGTAAGTTAGGTATATGTAAAATGCCGGTACATTTAGTGTTAAATATTCACGATACAGATTTCTCTTCTTTCACTTCCGTCGACAAAGAAGTTTCTCGCAAATGCAGGAAAATTCACGACCTATCAATTGGCTAACCAAGCAATCGTTCGCTCGTAGAACAAGTCTCTTACCTCATGTCTTTTTCGTTCACGAGTCGAATATTTGAATTTCTTTGACAGCGAAGAACACGAGAACGCGAGTGTCGAAACTGAAAGACGAACTGAAACGACGGGCAAAGTCCGACCAATGACGATGCTCGCCTCGGTTTTCAATTCGTTTAAACGTTAAATTAAGTGCAAGTGTTTGTCCAAGCGATTCGGCCAATTATTGCATCGGCGAGTCAAGTGGATTGTGACACGCGACTCGTTCAAATTGAATTGTAAACGAGACACGTTCGCAAGATGATATTCAAAAGGATTCATTAGTATGTATACAGCGTGTAGATGCCTAGAGAAAGTTCCAGTGGGGGAAAAAAATAGCGAGAAGAATTAATTAGAATGTTTAAAGTGAGTATACGAATTTTTCACGTGTACAATTTTTATTCTCGTATCTGATGAGATTACTTCAACATCGATTAAAATAACTAATCTCACTGCCAAGAGAGCAAGAAAATGCTCGAAATAACTGACCTATTTAGAAAATACGACAACGAGAAATGTTCGTGTCTCCAAGTCATAGTGAATGCGCTCGCGTGCGAAGCAAGAATACATTGAAAACAAGATTAAATAATGATTATCGAGACATCTGGCGCAGGATTTTAAAAAATTCATATCTCGTATAAAATTAACTTGCAATAAAACTGAAAGTTCAATGAACTGCAATGAAACTAAGGATTGAATATAATTCTACTTTTGAGTACTATAGTTGTATTAACTATTATAAAATAGTTTATTACAGTGTTTACGAAACGAATTATTTCAGTTATACTGATAAAAAGTTCTAAAGTTACTTCTTCATTTTAAAAATTTTTCTTCCGATCCATAGTAAGAGCCATTCACTGTTATAAACAATTATAATAAAAAATGATAAATATAAGAATTTCAATCCTCACCGGTTATGAAACGATTCTTCGATAGCCAATTCAGAATAGTTGCACGATTTCAAAATGAAATTCCACACTGATCATATATGATGTGTCTGGTAATCACTATCAGATTCACTAGTATGTATCACTTTTAGTCCGATTAACAATGAGTTACGCAATCAGCAGTTGAAAAATCATCCTTGATCGAATCATCTCCCTCGACGGCTAAATCTTATCAAACCATTCAACTCAACAGAATTATTCGATACATTGATATCCATCGTATTTCTCATGGAGAAACAACCGAAGAATTTGCTCGTTACTTCTATTTTTCGTTCGTGGTTTATCTCAGAATAAAGAATCAAGAACGACAAGATTGAAGATCTACGTGGTACTCTCCGATAAACGAAGCAAAAGTTGCTGATGAAATGAATTATGAAGCCGTCACAGACTTCTTACTTTTTAATAAGAAACGAAGCCAACGGTGAAACGGAATTGGCCTGTATCGAAGCAAAAATTAGAATCGATAGTTAAACAGACGAGAAACTCGGCTTCCTTTGACAATCAGTGAGACCAAATGAAATATGTAGACGTAGTTCGCCTCGAAATAAGATTAAAATCGATGACTGACGTAGCGTACTTCGAAAAGGAAGTATAATAAAAAAAAAAAAACACGCGCGCACAACTTTTCTTCAAAAAGAAAGAAAAACGAAATAAGATAGTAGGAATAAGAAACGAAAGCAGGTACACTTAAACACACAAACGGATAAACACGATTGCTTTGAAACAGTTCAAAGAAAGACAGGATCGATGGTTAAACGAATAACAGGCACGATTTACTCACTCGAGAGGCGAGTAAGAGAATCGGTCGTTAAGCGAACGATCAAC